CTAGAAAAACAAATACATCTATTTAGAAAGCTATTATTAAATGCTCGGAATACACAATAATGTGTATTATATCAATGCGTAATGGGCCTACGCAACTAAGTTTACTTCAATTTAATATGAGTATAATAAAAAGTTATGACTAACTTTCCATTGTTCTGTGTTCTCTAACGAGTAACTCTTCTCAAAAGTTTAAAAACTGTTCGAGTTGGAATTTTATTCTGAGTAATGATTTTTTTAGTTAAGGAGAACTCAACTATAGGAGACTAAGAATAAAGAACTTTCCCCTTTTCGATTCAACTCTTTCGAATGCTGGTTTTAAAAATGAATGGTTTCCCTTCTTCGACTTTTGCTACCAACATAAGAGAAGATAACTAATGCATTCCATTTATTGAACAAGATTTTATGGTTAGTCCACGACTTTTTGATACCAAAGATGTCTTTGGAGATGATGGAGTCAGTCCTTAGATTTTTCATTCCTTCTACCATATTTCAGTCAAAGGATTAAAGGTAATGCATCAGACTGTTCTCAATTATCAACTTGATCCTCTTCTTTAGGTATCCCAGATGAAGAATAATAGAGTCGTTGGCTCCAACTACCATCTATATATGATCCATACTAGATTTGACAAACTAACAATCCTACCTCCTCCACATTTTTTGATAAACTAAAAAACCCATAAAGGATTTGTACTTGAAGTTTATGTTGATACCCTGTGAGCATGTGAAACTTATGAGTGTACAAACGGTAGATTTTGAACTTTTATGTAAAATGTGATAAGTTTTTATGTAATAGCTAAATGTCAAACTTTTATAACCTTAAGAGTTCGAGCAACCAAATTAATGATATATATAGTTAAGAGCATGAGGTCATTTGGTTAAATATAATGTTATATTATAAGATTATTAAATGATAGTAAATGTGACAAGACTAATATTATCTTAGCTAAAATAAAATGCCTTTAAAATAATTCATTAATTCACTAAAGAACCAGTAATGCATAGTTATTATGTATAATGACATAAAAAGATACTGTGAAGTAAATAAAATAATTATACAACAAATACAAGTACTAGAGTATAAATAATTTCATTAGCAAGTTCTATTATTTTAACATGTAAAAATATGGGCTGTTATAAGATAGTGTTTGTAGTTTTTGAGCATACTGAATATATATTTTCTTTAATTTTTGTAAATAATCTTATTGGCCAAAAAATTACTCATTTTTAGTCCATTAAAAATGCATTTATGATAGTAATTAAGCTTAAAATGATTATTTTCTTGATTGAAAATTAAGATGAGATCAATATAGTAACTGTAACATAAATAATTGCAATCATGGTTGATGTTATCATCATCTACTTAGTCACTAAATATGACACACCTAATGTTCTTAATTAATTTCTAAGAAGGTTCTTATTTAAGGAATTCAAGTTAGGCATTATGGCATGTATATATATATGTATTATGTTTAAATGTGAATTTGGAGTATATATAATGGTAATCCTAGAAAAGAACAACTTTATTTTATACATACGTAGATATATATAGAAAGAGAGGAGAGATACATATACATAATTAAGAGAATTGAGACATAATAACTTGGTTATAATAATAACGACATAAGAAATTAAGTTTGAGGTAATGCAAGTATTATTGGAAATTGAATCAAGGATTTTTGATCTATTATTTAATCTTTAACCTATTAACTCTAACAAATGCTCATTTATTTGTCGATTATAAGATAAATTGAGAATACAAGAAATGATAATATATATTTAAAAAGACATAATTCTTATGTAAGTGTGAGATGTAAGACCTTTAAATGATTGGTGAGGCAACACAAAACCTAGCCAAAACAACCCAAGCCACCCAATAAGAGAGGTTATGGAGGGTGTTAATTATGATAATAGAAGAGATTTGTGGCAAGGGGATTTGATTGTGTAAAAGCCCAAAGCTAAAGGTAATGGAAATATTGAATTATATCAACTATAAGCAGAAATAACTTAGAATTTAGAGTTTACATTCCTTACACAGTAAATCAGAATGACCAATAGGCCTACGAAAATGTCACATTATAGCAGTTCATAGTAATAGAATAAATATTAAAACAAAACGAAATAAAAATCCTATGGGGTTAACCTCCGCTGGGTAACTCTGATGAGATTCGAGGGGTAACTTTTATTTGCAACCCTTCTATTGTTCATGATCTGAATCTTGATCTTCTTGATCTGAAATATTTAAATAGGGAAATGAGATATACTAGCCTAATAAAAATATCACACTTATCACCAATTACAGAAAATTAAAGGTTGGAAAAAAAAAATCATAAAACAACCAATGGAACCATTTTATTTCTTAAATAAATCCATTTAACATAAAAACTGTTACTTCATACTTACCCTTATGAGTTTTCAAAACTGACCTATGAAGACAATAATCCAAATATCATTTTTGTTATGCATTTACATAAATAATAAATAGTAAACTTACCTCCTTACCTTTTTACCAGTACTTATGGGAGTCCATAGGGATGTCTTCCTACATGTTAATCCAATATTCAACTTGTCAATTAACCAGCTGTCTCCATATCCCGTCCGGTGATGGCGTCAAACATACCACCGCCTCGATACCTTGTCTGGAATAAAGGTGAACCACACCTCTCAACCCCTTTCGGTATATGACTTCTCAACTCTGTTCAACTGATATAATGTTCACGGTAGAATTTTTTCTATGTATCGGATCCATCCACCCTTTCCCAAGGTACCTAGTAAGCCTTTCATACATAGGTTCGCATCATCAACCAATCACCAATCACATACCAACATCTAATTTCATATTTATAGATCAATAAAACGATATTTAAGTAGGCAATACAAATTTATACTTTAGCAATTAAGAAATATAATTAGGGTATTTATTTCGACTCAGTCAATAGATAAAAATAACGGTATGATAATTATTAAATGAGAAAATAATTAAACCTATGCATTAAAATGCATGCAGTAAGCAATAATAACAGTCTAGCAACAAATGAACCGTATAGATAAAATAAGCAATTTCGTACTAACCAGTTTCGATTCTATTGGTGACCTGTAATTAATTTAGGATTTTTCTAATTTTTAGAAAATACAATGTTATTAATTATTAAGCTTCAATATACTATAACGGGAAAAAGAATGAGGGATTCTTACCCCTAATTGGTGTTCGATCATCGTTCTTTTTATTGAGCCTCCTGGCTGTTCTGGGTTTCATGTGTAACACCCGGACCCAAAAATTTTGCCCTAGATAAATTTTTGAATTAATAAAAAAATAAATAAAAATAATTTTATCATTTTTTATTTTAATTTTTTGAAAATTTTAAGAAAAATAGAATCAGGGATGAAATTGAAAACAATTATGGGAAAAATAGGTGAAATTGTGAATAATGTTTTTGAAATTTTTTTTGAAAACATGGGGTAAAATCATAAAAATAAAAAGTTTAGCCACGTGGGACGACATGATCAGCAGCCATGATGAGTCAGAACGTACTATGTGGCAGACACACTGACATCGACTTGACACGGACGATCCGCGAGCCTGGGTGATCTGACGACACCCAGATTGTATACCACGTATAAATGGCCCAGATGCATTCCCTATTTAGATGCGATCGGATGGTTAGGATTGATCGCCCACACAATCGGCCTAAATGGAAAATCATCAAATGGTTAACCTCACTCCACATTGACTCAAACGAGAGGCTGGGATTGGATGAAGAGGGGTATTTAAACTCCTATTCATAGGGAATCGTAACCCTAGCCGACAGAGGAGTGACCAGAGAAGAAAAAGAAGAAGGGCAGTCGGAAAAAGAATCAGACGCAAGAGAAAAAGGCCGACCACAATCATCATTG